TTGTAAACTAGTAAATGCAAGAGTAGCAAAACATGTTTTTCTAATCTTGGCAATAACATACGAAGAAAATTGTGTGACTAATATCCAAGAGGCGTTATCTGATTTCTTTGAAAAAAACTGATACAATTAATTAACTGATAAAATAACTTTTATTTTACGTGAATGTGCAGGTAAAATTTTTAAAGAAAATAATAATACATTTTCGGAAAGAAAAAACATAAATCGGGTCATATGTGTACTAAAGTTACTATGCAGTATTGAGTGTATTATTCATGACCGAAATTTGGAGCATCTGTGTGTTACAGGCAGATCGACCGAAAATGCGAAAATGAATAATCCACCCCAATGAATATTCACTCCGAGACATTTTTATTGCTTCCTTATGATAGCCTATTAATGTCTTTTATCACTGCTATCACTGTCGTGAAACGGGTCAGGGAAACATCCTTTCTACAAAATACTGGAGATAATGTGTAGAAATAAAGCATTAAAAGGCCATTAAAGTGAATCAGTTTTGTTATTGAGTGGAAAAACTGACTTGATATATCTATTTATTTGTTTATGCGTATAATTCTTTCAAATTTATGGTTTTCAAATAAAAAGTTTAAGTTGCATTTTTATATATATTATACTCACATTGTCCATTATAATAATAACATTGTTTTTACTTCCTGAGCGTAAGCTAAAGTGGTCTCTCATTTCCATCTGTCTGTCTGTCTATCGGTCGTCTGTGTAAGTTTTTATTAGACACATAATCTCCGTAACTACTGAACCGACTGTTGTCAATTTTTGTATGTATATTAAAACTATTTTGACTAATCATCTCTACCACCAATGGGATGACGTCTCTTCAAAATTTACAATTATGTAATATATTTTTTTAAATTTTATAAAATAAGACACTCTTGCACTTGGTATGTATGAAACCGTGTTGACATCCAGATTTTCGGAATAAAATATCAAAATTGAAACTTTGAAGCTACAAAACTGAATGCTTTGAAATCTTGCACATCTCCAAATTTTGCAGTGCATTCATAATTTATAGTATTACTTAGACAGGTGACTCAAAAAAAAAAAATGAATGAGGTAATTTATTTTATTAATTATTTGTATTAATTTTATCATTAAAAAAATAAAATTCGCAAAACCAAATCTTATAATTTTTGGAAAAATGGATTTATTTTATGTTCGACCAATTTTCTCATATCACAATTTTTCGTTATTCCTTTTTCTTCGATTTTACAATTTTTTGATATCACAATTTTTCATTTTCATTTTCTCTTCATTTTTGAATTTTTCCTTTACTCGGTTTTTCAAATTCTTGATTTGTATTTTTTACTTAATTTCCTTTGTTTTTTCAATATTTCTTACGATTTTAGAATTTCTGGTTTATTAAATTTGTTAAATTTCCAATCTTTGATTTTCTATTCCTCAATTTTCCAAATTTTCAATTTCCCGTTATTCGATTTTTGCTTTTCTTTAATTTTACAATACATGTTCCATTTTTTCAATTTTTAAGTTAATCAACTTTTAAAGTATTTGTTATTTTTCAAAAAACAGATAAATCGAAAAACAAAGAAAATCGGAAAAAATGAAAATAATGAAAATTGACGAACTGATGAAACGAAAAATTGAAACATTGAAAAACTAAAAATCGAGAAACTTAAAAATCCAAAAAATTAATGAATCGAAAAATTAGAGAACCCAAAAATTGTAGAATCGTGAAAAGTCGAAAAACTGTAACATTGAAAAATCGAAAATTTGAAAAATCACAGAAATGAAAAAAAAAAATTAAATCCAATAATTGAAAAAAGTCAAGAATTTTGAAATTTGTAATTATTATTACATTTTTAAAATTAAAACTAGAAATATTGCAAATCAAGAATTAAAGAAAAATTGAGAAAACGAATTAAAAAATCAAAAACTGAAAACTAAAATTTGAAAAATCTAGAAACGGAAAAATTTCACATTGAAAAAAGAAACATTTTTAAATTGCAACATTGAAAAATCAAAAAATTGCAATTTTTGGATTTCCCGTTATCCGATTTTCGGATTTCTTTAATTTTACAATACATATTTCATTTTTTCAATTGTTAAGTTCCTCAACTTTTAATTTCTTTTTTATTTTTTAAGGTTTTCATTTTATACTTTTTCGCTTTTTCATTTTGCAATTTTTCCATTTTTTTTATTTCTACAAATTGATAAATTAAAAAACAGAAAAATCGAAGAACTAAAAAAATCGGAAAAAAGTGAAAAATCAAAATAATGAAAATCGAAGAACTGATGAAACGAAGAATTGAAACAATGAAAAACTAAAAATCGAGAAACTTAAAAATTCAAAAAATTAATCGAAAAATTAGAAAACCCAAAAATTGTAAAATCAAAAAATAATAGAATCGTGAAAATTGTAAAATCGAAATACTGAAAAAATGTCTAGAAACTGAAAAATTAAAAATCGAAAATTTGAAAAATCAAAGAAATGAAAAAAATTTGAAATCCAATAATTGAAAAAAGTGAAGAATTTTGAAATTTGTAATTATTATTACATTTTTAAAATTAAAACTAGAAATATTGCAAATCAAGAATTAAAGAAAAATTGAGAAAACTAAATTTAAAAAATCAAAAACTGAAAACTAAAATTTGAAAAATCTAAAAACTGAAAAATTTCACATTGAAAAAAGAAACATTTTTAAATTGCAACATTGAAAAATCAAAAAGTTGCAATTTTTGGATTTCCTGTTATCCGATTTTCGGATTTCTTTAATTTTACAATACATACTCGTATTTCATTTTTTCAATTGTCAAGTTCCTAAACTTTTATTTTTTTTTATTTTTCAAGGTTTTCATTTTATACTTTTTCGCTTTTTCATTTTGCAATTTTTCATTTTTTTATTCGACAAATTGATAAATTAAAAAACAGAAAAATCGAAGAACTAAAAAAATCAGAAAAAAGTGAAAAATCGATAAACTGGAAAAAGTGAAAAATCAAAATAATGAAAATCGAAGATCTGATGAAACGAAGAATTGAAACAATGAAAAACTAAAAATCGAGAAACTTAAAAATTCAAAAAATTAATCGAAAAATTAGAAAACCCAAAAATTGTAAAATCAAAAAATTATAGAATCGTGAAAATTGTAAAATCGAAATACTGAAAAAAATATCTAGAAACTGAAAAATTAAAAATCGAAAAATTGAAAATTCGAATAAATGAAATTTGTTTTTAATCCAATAATTGAAAAATAGAAAAATACTAAAATTAAAAAAGTTTAAATTTGTAATTATTATTGTATATTTAAAATTAAAACTAGAAACATTGCAAATCAAGAATTGAACAAACGAAAAGTTAAAAAAGCTAAAATTAAAAAATCGAAAAACTGAAAACCGAAAACTTGAAAAATCCACAAACTGAAAATTTTAAAATTGCAATTTTTGGATTTCCCGTTATCCGATTTTTGGATTTCTTTAATTTTACAATACATATTTTATTTTTTCAATTGTCAAGTTTCTCAACTTTTAATTTTTTTTATTTTTCAAAATTTTCATTTTAGACTTTCGCTTTTTCATTTTGTAATTTTTCCATTTCTTTCTTATTCGAAAAATAAAAACCAGAAAAAATCGAAATAACGAAAATCGAAGAACTGATGAAACGAAGAATTGAAATATTTCATTGAAAAACTAAATATCGAGAAACTTAAAAATTAAAAAAATTAATCAATCAAAAAATTAGAAAAATTGTAAAATCAAAAGATTATGGAATCGTGAATATTGTAAAATCGAAAAAACAAAAAATTATAAGATTGGAAAATTGTAAAAATATAGAAAATAAAAAACGAAACGAAAAATTGCAAATCGAAAATTTGAAGAAATGGAAGATTAAAGAATCGAAAAATTGGAAAACTGAATATTGAAAAAACGTGAAATTTTAAATTCAAAATCGCAAATCGAGAAATTGAAACGAGAAACTGAAAAACCGAAACTCAAATTAAAAAATTGCAAAATCTAAAAATTAAAAATTCGAAAGATTGGAGAAGGGAAAAATCCAAGTCAAAAAAGCTGCGATTTTTTACTTCATAGAGGTTATCTAAAATCAAAAATCACAAACAATGTTTATAATTTTTCAAAGAAGCGGCATTTATTTGACAGTACTTCAAAAGCGAGGGAAGTTCAATGGAAATAACCTTCGACCAATTTTTTTTGCTAGTAATATGTCGTGCACAAATATTAATATTACTGTCATGGTTTTCGTTAAAAATCCATTATACAACAAAATCTTGAGGTTTTCGCGGTTTGTAGTTTCCGATATAAGCCGCCATTATGTTAAATAGAAAAGTTTTGTCAGCTGGATATAAAGTTTTTCTTGAATTTGCTGTAGTTTGTCAAGAGTGAATAATACGCATTTTTTATTATCTGTTTTATTTCTTGTGGTTGATGTTTTTCTTCCACTTACATAGGTTGATAGATTACTATATTATTATAAGGTTATTGTGGTCATATTATTAATAATTTTATTTTTAATATATACGTGAGCTGAAGGTACTAGCTTTAGCAATTTTATCATAGTTACTAAATTATTCAGACATTATTACACTAGCGCCTGACTTTTTCAAAACTTTAACTCAATTATTATAAACCATTAATCACCGTCGCTTCATAACTTTATTAGTTAGTGAAGTTGTGTGTTCCAGACTTCATAAAATACACATACCGCGCTCAACAGATATAAAATAAGATAAAAAAAGTTAATAAAACGGCGCTTTCTACATAAAAAGTCGGCACACTAGTGCTTTGAACTGGAAAAGCGTATTCACTACGTAAAAAACTACTTGTTATAATTTTAGTCGCCCTGACCTGACCCTTACAAATAAACCCCAGTCATTATAACTTTCAAACCCCACGCAAACCATAGTCGTAAATATCCACTTGATTACCCCTAGCCTAGGTACCAATACCTTCGCCTTTTTTTTTTTTTAACTAACTTGTGTGAATCCTTAATTTCCAGAGGGCCCGCATTCATTCCCTTCATCGACGACTTGCCCTCGCTGAACAGGAAAATCGACGGACCTTTTATAATGCCAATAGTAGATAAATACAAAGACATGGGCACGGTGCTGATGGGCAAAGTCGAGTCGGGCGAGTGTCGAAAAGGTCAAAGTCTCGTCATAATGCCAAACAGGGTAATTTTCCGGCTGGGTTCCTTCGTCTGACGTTGTGTTGATTTGGTTTTTTTTTTTAATTGCAGACGCCCGTAACCGTCGATATGTTGCTCTCTGATGACGACGAAGTCAGCCGTATAGTGCCGGGCGAAAACGTAAAAGTTAAAGTAAAAGGAGTCGAAGAAGAGGATGTCAGTCCGGGTTTCGTGCTGTGCGATGCCGTTAATCCGATCCACACTGGTAGAGTATTCGACGCCCAGCTTGTCATTTTGGAGCACAAGTCGATCATCTGTGCCGGGTATAGTGCGGTCATGCATATTCATTGCGCCGCCGAAGAAGTCACCGTTAAGGTAAAGGAAACTGAGCCTTATGTTTGTGAGAAAAGTGTGAAGGTTTGATTTTTTTGCGCAACACAGCAATTATAGGCATTGAGGGCGATCAAAGGACGTAATGTTACTTAAGTCATTTGAGTAAAGTGACGACTATGATGTTGAATTAACTTGAAAATGATCATTTAGTTCATTGAAATATCACAGGACTACAAATTTTCAACTTTACTTCTCGAACGCAAACTAGTATTATAGTAGGTTTCATAGTTCCTAGAATATGAAAAAGTAGGCTCTCGTTTCGGTCAATCTGTCATCTGTGTGATGCCGATTAAATTTCCGAGAATAATACGATTCTATATTTGTGGTTTATTAACGGGCCCTGACTTTAATTGTAAAAAAAAATTGAAAATATGTCTCAAAAAATACAAAAACGTTTACTCTGAAAAGTTAATGACGTCATCTCAAAATATTGTTTTCGTTAGTCATTTGTGCACTGGAAGGTTATTAAATAGAAAGTTTTTTGAATCGGTTGAAATCGTTTTTGAAAAATATTTATTGAAACAAAAATAATATAATTCTATAATTGTGATATTAAAATCGTATATTTTACCTTTGACATTTAGCGTTTTGGGAAAAAATCACAATAATTGTACTTAAAAAATACAAAACCACTTCTCTGAAATCTTGGAAATTATTAAGGTATCATCAACATGGTAATCATTAATCTAAATTCATCTTCTGTTTGTTTATCCCATCCAAAAAGTTGTTGACGTCATTCAAAAATTATGTTAGATAAATATCCAGTCTAAAATCTACACATCTTCCCCATCAAAACGTCATGCCAAAAGTTTAAAAGCAAAATCAACTTTTATAATTTATCTAGAAAATGAACTTTGTATCTATTATCTACATATATTTTTATTGTCTAGTTCTCTCTCTCAATGTTAAAATAGTTATTAAAAAACAAGTTTTATAAGACGTTATTTTAGAGTAGGAATCCCAAAATTAGATTGCGTTAAAGTGACTTTATGGTATGTTCACTATTTTCTCTAATTCACACAATTTTTTGCTGCCCAAGCGTAAACTAAGGAAGTATTGTAATAGGATCAATTCGGCGAACGGCTACTTTTATGTTTTGTAGATGTTTCAACAATCTTTTGTGTCGATTTTTATTAGAGAGATGGCCTCCGAATTTACTGGACTGACTGTCGTCAAATTTTGTGTGTATAGTAGGATTATCGTGTAGAAAAATTCAAGTGCTTTAAATGAGCCAAAAATCTCAACAATCAGAATATCTTCAGCAAAATCTCAAGACCTTAAAAAGGCATACAACAAATTTTGGAAAAGAAATCAAAGTTCTGAAGAAAAGTGAAGTTCATAAAAATACAAAATCTGTAAAAAAATGTGTGAATAACAAGACTGAGATTAAATAAACTATTTTGAAAAGAAAAGCAAGAAAAAATCAATATTTTGAATAATAAACATTAACAGACCTTTAAAGAGTGAACAAATTTTGAAAGAAAAACTATTTAAAAAGAAATCATAAAAAATCAGAATCTTCAGAAAACTGTTAATATGTCGAAACTGAAATAATAATTTAAAAAAAAAAAAAAACAAACCTGGGTTAGCTGTCAATAACGAAACGGAGATTGAAAAACAAAAGTGGAGAATTTTTGAAAAAAATCTGAAGTCAAAAATCGCAACGTTCCGAATACTTGAGAAAAAAGAGCAAGTTCTAAAAATGGCTTTTAATACAATTTGAAAAAAAAGTCACAATTCTGAAAAAAAGTGAAGTGACAAGAATTGAAAATCTTCCGAAAAATGATTAAAAAACATATCTGTCAAATCTTGAAAAAACAGAATTATAAAACAAAAATTTTCACATTCGGAATATCACGAGAAACAAATTTTAAGACCTTAAAAATGGATACAATAGTTTTTTATTCTTAAAAACAAGATTTTGAGAAAAAGTGTAATTTGTTGGAATTAAAAATTTCCATAAAAATATTGCGATAATGAAATCAATAATGATACTGAGACTTAAAAACTGGGTATTTTGAAAAAAAAGGCGTACAACAAATTTCTAAGAAAAAATCAAGTTTCTGAGGAAAAGTGAAATTCGTAAAAATTCAAAATGTCTACGAAAATGTGTCAATAACAAAGCTGGGATTAAAGATACCATTTAAAAAAAAAAACGAAAAAAATTCATTATTTTGAATATTTTGAGAAAACAATAACAGACATTGAAAGAGTGAACAAATTTTTAAAAGAGACAAGAATTTGAGAAAAATTCATAAAAAATCAGAATCGTCAGAAAACGGTTAATATGTCACTAATGAATAAAATTAAAAGAAAAAAGAACGAAACTGGGTATTTAGAAAAAAAAAAAAAAAGGTAGGAATCTCCATATTTGGAATATCTTAAAAACAAAACAGAATCTTATACACGCATATGACCAATTTTGACAAAGAAATCAAAATTTTGGTGAGAAATGAAGTAAATAAAAAATAATACTAGATGTCAATAACGAAACTGAGATTAAAAACCAAAAGTGGGGGATTTTTGAAAAAAAAAAATTAAGGCAAAAATCGCAACAATCGGAATACTTTAGAAAAACGGCAAGTTCTAAAAAAATTGTTAATAAATTTTGAAAAAAAATCATAATTCTGAAGAAAAGTGAAATGACAAGAATTCAAAATCTTTGGAAAATGTTCATGTTCATGAAGCTAAGATTAAAGAACATATTTGTTAAATTTTGTAAAAACAGAATCATAAAACAAAAATTTTCATATTCGGGATATCACGAGGAACAAATTTTAAGATCTAAAAAATGGATAAAATAGTTTTTTTATTCTTAAAAGCAAGATTTTGAGAAAAAGTATAATTCATAAATATTAAAAATTTTCATAAAAATGTTAGGATATCAATAACGATACTAACTTTTAAAAAGTGGGTATTTCGAAAAAAAAACAAGGCATACGCCAAATTTTTAAGAAAAAAATTAAGATTCTGAGGAAAAGTAAAATTCATAAAAATTCCAAATCTCTACAAAAATGTTAATGTGTCCGTAACCAAGTTGAATTTAAAGAAACTGTGGACTTAAAAAACTGAAGAAAAGCAATTCAATATTTTGAATAGTTTTGGAAAAGAATGCCAAGCCTTTCAAAGGGTAAATAAATTTTGAAACAAATTTGAGAAAATTTCATAAAAATCAGTATCTTCAGAAAATCGTTAATATGTCACCTAGGCAGCTGAAATAACAATATTGGCCACATTAACTTGTTTCATTGTGTTTAAGGGGAAAGATAGTTGTTTCTAGATAGTTGTAGTTCAATTTTTATTTTTTATTAACTGTTTACGTATCTGTTTTCTACAAATCGTTATTGTACAGTTCTATCTCAGTGTTAAAATACATAGATAGTGTATAAATGACAAGTTTCATATGAGGTTAGAATTTCAAGATTAGAAGACGATGAGCGCGCTAAAGTGCCTTATAAAACGTGTATTCTATGCTGTATTTTCTTTTGTACCTGTGATTTATGAATCCACCTTGGTTTTGTTTATTATCATTACTATTTTAGTTGTTTAGACCTTCTAGTACTAAAGCTGTTCTTTAGATACACTAAAACATTTTTTAACTTCATAAAAAAATTATAAAATCAAATTTCGAAAAAGTTGAATATCTTGTATTGCATTTCAGAAGCAATGTTTTCCATTTTTAAATAAAAATTGGATTTTTTTAATACTCTTTGTGGTGATTGGTACAACAAACGTTTGAACGTTCACAATAATAAATTTTTACTAAAAAGTGTGAAACTGAAGACAATTTTACGCCCCCCGAAGTATGAGTAATCGCCCAAAGTACCGCCCATGATTTATTGATTTTATTTGTTATTTGACAGTGGCATTTGTAATCAATATCAATTTTGAAAACACAAATTATTTAAATTCGTTATTCAATTTCTTTTGTAACGTTTTTCGGTGGCGGTATGTCTTAATTCGAAAGATAAATTCATAAAATGCTTATTGTATTTTTCAGATTGTTCTAAAAAAATTATATTAACATCAACACAGCAGTGTCGTGTGGGTTGTCTAACAATTGAACTTATTTCGATTAAAGTTTTCTTTCACTAATATTACAAAAGACAAGCAAAAATCGTTTGAATTCGTAATAACCGCGATGTCACATCATTTATTTATAGATATTTCGTACTCCCTAAAAATTTCAAATATGTTAATTCCCTTAATTGTTTCATTAGTAACTAACAATAATTGAGTGAAGTTAAATTCGTCTTACTCAAACATCGCCTGTATCCTGATTGTTACAAATTATTACTGTATTATTATTGAATGACAAAAATTTCACGAAGAGTTATAAAATTCGCATTATTTTACGTTTTATTGATATTTTTTTATTTAGTGATACAAACACATGATCAATGCTTCAACAACGATCTTAACGTTCCTACTGTTTAAACAACACGTGTGTTGAAGCTTCGGTAGATTTAATGGGCTTTAACACGGACTGCTCATGCAGCTCTTACGTGATCCGTTGCATCTAGTGGGCGATTCTAACTAGCATAAAACGACCTCATAATTCGTGATGTAAAACATATCCCTATAACATATTATTAAAAACAAATCAATTGAAATATAACGTACATAAACCAAGATAAAATGCAAAAACTATAAAAATGATTTTATTAGTAGGTTTTAACATATTTAAAAAAAGTTTTGAATGTTTGTTTTTACGCTCTACATTATTCAGATAAAATTCTGCAAGAAGCAGTTTGTGTTTATTTTTAATTACTTAATTATTGCTAGTCATAAACAGTTTCTTAATTTCGGAGAGATCGTTTTTTATCTGATACTGTTCAAAAAAATTATGCAAAATCCTTGATATTGTGATTGTTTTATTTTTCTATCCCTAGAAACTCGAACTCTGAAAAACGGTGCCAATGAAATGTAAGTAGTTTTTGATTGGTTCCTAATATTTTTGTGGTTTCGTCGTTATATATGTTTAATTTTCTGTCCACAATTTCTCTTGAAACAGGTTATTAATTAGAAAATACAAAAACACATCTTTTTTTGTAAATTTATACTTATACATAACAAGTAATCCACTGATGTGTTAAACTCGTCACGTACTGTTTAAACATGACGCGAACGCCAGAATTTTGGATGTACTGAACAGTCATTGATTTATAATAAAAGTGTGGAGGGCTGCAAAATGGAGCCTTGACACTTTCCCGGTTTTATACGCTCAAAGAATTACGGAATCTGTAAACTTGATCTATGTTTAGATCTAACAAAACAGTAACGTGTATTTCTTTGTGTATACAATAACATAGGTAATAACTGAAAAGTATTGATTTCTGAAGTTTTAAATTCCACAAAGTAAGATATGTTTGAAGTACAAATACTAGTTATAACGCATTGAAGGACTCGCGTAGGCTACCTCGGTTTTTTAAATTTATATATCGCTTTGATAAATTTATCAATAAGTAAACAATCTAAGAAAGTATGATTTCCGAAATCTAGGAGGAAATTATAAATAAAATTGTCATGTCAACATGCAATATTTATTGTTCTCAGTTCCCTTTTGTCTTATAATAAACTTTACAAAATAAATGTGATAAGATAAAGACAGTATAAGACAATAGTTTATAAAAATAAGTTATTTATAAACATTATCATAAACATTTAAATGATTTTTTGAGATGACGTCCTCAACTTTTTTGAGATTATTTGTCTGAAAAAGTCGCCAACAGACAGACTTAAGTCTTTTAGCGTAAAGTACATGAATTTTTTTTATTTCCGTCACATGTAAATGCTACGTTATTTTTATAATCTTATAAGGTTGTTCTCGTTGTGGAATTAGACCCCTGTGTATATTTCAACGTCGTCAAAATTATTATTACTAAACACGTTATAAAAGCCTTAAGAAAACAAAACTATAGATTTTTTTGCTTAATTTATCGCCGTATAAAAACCGATCAGCGCTAACATTAAACAACTGTCCAAACATATGAGATCACATTCCTATGTGGGTCGTAATATGTAAGTGTTTTCAAACTTTAAACTCGTTCAGAATTAAACATTACATTACGTAATAGTTTCGTAAATATGTTGTTCACAAAGTTGACAGGTGGTGTCCGTGCTTAAAATTTTAAACTACTTCATGTTATCTTTGTTCCAGGCCTTAATATGTCTTGTTGATAAGAAGACTGGTGAGAAGAGCAAAACGCGGCCGAGGTTCGTCAAACAAGATCAAGTAGCCATTATGAGAATAGAATGCGCAGGCGTCATCTGTCTCGAACCCTTCAAGTCGTTCCCTCAGATGGGTCGGTTCACGCTCAGAGATGAAAGTAGGTCGAATTTCGTTTGTTCTCGTTTGTTTTATTGACCCTGATCGTCTGTTGCAGATAAAACAATTGCCATCGGTAAGGTACTGAAATTAGTCGAGTAAAATCGTCGCTAGATTAGATTGTAACTTGATATTTTATCCAACTCGCAATCGACTGGTGGACATTTTCCGAGGTGACCACCACACAATGTTCATTTTGTATTGTGGGTGTCCACAGATGAGACTTGAATGGTGCTACGTTAGTAGCGAAATTGTGAAAATGATCAATTTTTTTAATTAATCCTATTTCTCATGATTTTGTTGTAATTATATTTAGTCTGGTGTAATGGTATAATTTTCTTTAGATGTGTTTTGTACATTTTTAATTTTAATTTCTTAAATTAAGGGGTGTAATTTTTTACTACTATTATTTTAGCGATCGAAATTGTGTGGTGTACATCATTGTTATTAAAAAAAAACAAAAGATTACTTTAAATCGATGTACTCCTTTTGTTTGACAGCCTGGTGCTTTATTTATATTTTGAAAGAAGAGATGAAGGTATTTAATCGACCCATTCGTTATCACGGCCTATTACCATTTCATTGAAATATTGAGATTCACTATGTTGACTGAACAGGAAAATACAATACTGAAGCTAATAAATACCTTCAAGCTCCCTATTGGTTTTATTTACTACACGCCTTTTCAACAGAGTTCAGCTCTAGCTTCGACAGTTCCATTGTAAATAAAGAGTTTATGAGAGTCACCATGTGGCTAAACTTGATAAATTTATGCTTATGTTGTATTTTCTGCAAATTTTTTCTGTTAATTAAGTTGTGTTTTACTCTTTATTAATAATTATATAAGTAACCAAGAAATGTTGCTATCAATTTTATATATTCAATAAAATGTAAAATTGGCAAGGTGTGTCATTCAATCGCGTTTTTATGGCACGTAAAATTTTACAGACGCTCATTTTCTCGCATTTATGGTTATATCCTGCTTTTGTTCCGCAAATGGCACGCCACTGCTTTTGCGTATTACGCGCAGCGCCATCTTTGCCACCACTGCGCAGGCGTAGTGCCAACCGGGGGAGGTATACACCCACTTTTCCGCCACTAAAAACCTCAAAATCTGCTTTAAATAATCAAATATTAATAAATTGGTGCTTAATTTAACTGATATTAACCAAAGGTAAGTGTTTTTTGATCATATTTGCGCTATTTCTTGCCCCGGCTTCACTTTTGACACTCAACCAGCGACAGCCTGGAAATTTCCGGTAAATATTTAAATAATCTCCTGATAACAAATCCGATTAGTAAATAACGCTACGCTTCAGTTCTCCTGTGCATTTCACGCTTCGCCGATAATTGCAAAATTACATTTTTGTCACGGTCTAAATTTAACCTAAAAAGCTTTTGTGATTCATTATTCTTTCGTGTCAGCCAAAATGTCTCAAGGGGATGTGACCACGCCAGACGAATTTGATCACGAGCACGATAGCAACTACAGACCCCCACCTGAAAAGACCATCGAAGAAATCTTGCAGGCCGACCAAGACGATGAGAGCTTGAGGAAGTACAAAGAAACCCTGCTGGGACAGGCTCAAACTGGCCCAGTCGTAGTCGGTAAGTCACGCAGACACTCCCAAGGCGCTCCTAACGCCAGATTTTAGAACCAGATAACCCCAGAAAAGTTATCGTGAAAAAGCTAGTGCTAGTAGTCACAGATCGGCCTGAACTCGCTCTCGATCTTACTGGAGATCTCTCAAAACTGAAAAAACAGACTTTCATTATCAAAGAGGGAGTCTCGTACCGGATAAGAATCGAATTCTTCGTGCAGAGGGAGATAGTACACGGCCTCAAGTATTTGCAAAAGACGAGCAAAGTAGGGATTCCAGGTAAGAGTAGGTTTATTTGTGGTTTTTTGGTTTTTGTATTGATGATTTTGTGTTAATTGCTGCGGGATGTAGAACCAGGTAATTATTGGTTGAGGTGTGGTGCATTTTTCTGACAGAGTTGGTAGCCTGAGCGTTTCTTTGGTTGGTTTGCGGCGGTAAAGTTATTGAAATCACAGCAGGAAATAAGTAGTTATGAAGCAGCTGATGGGGAAATTGATAGTCAGCTAAAGAACAAATCTAAATGAGCGGCAATTGCTCAAATAAAACTATAGCGTTATTTGCAGTGATTGAAATTTAGTGAATTTATTACAAGCTTTGATAAAAATTCGACTTAAATAGTGCTGAAAATTTTGAATTGTCCGTTTTGAAATTTCTAGTTCATTTTATTTCTTAAATTTATCGTAGGAACGATGTTGATGTATTTAGATAAGTTTAATGGCGCTTTAACGAGCGCGTTATGATATTTATAAATGATAAGCTAATGCTTTAATTGCAGTTGAAAAAGCAGAAATACATAAATACTATTAAAGCGTAAGTCGCAATGCATATTTTCAAGCAAAATTTACAAAAACACTAGAACGTTCATAAAAACTGCAGCCGTTAATTTTTTTCAAGACAACGATTTTATAAAATGTGTTTCCCAAAATATGTTTACTAAAGATTCTACGACGTTATTTGAATTCTATGGAACGCAAGATAAAAAGATTTTTGCATAACATAGGTATAAATGGTGAGTGAATAAGCATAATACAGTAGACGCCGCTTAATATGATCACGGTTAATGTTATCAACCGCTTAGTGTGATCAAAATGGCTTGGAACGGTCCCATGCAATACCAATGCATTACAGTTTTTCCGTTGATTGTGATCAATATTTCGCTTATTGTGATCAATCTCGCAATTTTTATACAAGCGGGAATTGTTTTTTTGGAAAATCGAGACGACCGAAACTAGTATTGTGTTTTAATGAACATTCATTGCTCGCAAAAGCTGCATTCGCTTATACTACTCACTTTATACAACCACAATCAGTGACAGACTTTAGTAATCAGTGTGTTTTCGTCTTTTGAATGAACGAATTTTTGCTGTTTTAAATTTGAATAGTACTTAAGTAAAAATGATCACGTCGAAACGACGAGATTTCAGCTTATCAGAGATAAAATATCCTAGCCCTTTCTTTACAAACTTCTAAAACAACCAAAGGGAATCGGGGGTTCCTTTCTCAGAATGATAACCAAAGTTTAAAATAAATTCTAATGTTTATGTACCTTCATCTACCAGCATAATAAACACTGTCTTGTTCATGATTTTGCTTTGTTTCAAGTTTTACTGTCTTTGATGGTGGTTTTCGCTTATTATTATCAGTCGGTTAGTGTGATCAATTTGTCTGAGTCCCGAAGTGATCACATTAAGCGGCGTCCACTGTACCTTTGTTTATCTATCTGTTCGTGAAATATTGCAACACAGGTGTTAAAAATAAACCTAATGCGATTTGTTTGTGGATATTCGCACTTTTAAAAAAATTCAAGGAAATTTATATAATTTGGCAACGCTGCATCGGAATTTCAAAAACAAAATATGCTTGTAACGCCTAAGAAGGGGTGAACCCGATCATTAAAAAATATATAGAGTTTCTGTTTAAAAAATACTAAGTTGTATGATGCACCATCAAAACAAAACACTCTGTAATTTATTTTTAAAATAATGACAGTTATTTGACCGTAAATTTTTCAGTTTTCACAAATTATAACGGGTGTTCAATTGAAAAATCACTCAGAGTAGCCGTTGGAACATCAAAAAAAAAATATATCAACGTGATTTTTCAATTGAACACCCGTTAGTTTTACATGTCAAAACACCACTACTATTTTTTCGTGGCACGTGTGTGTCATGGAGTTTATTCTTAAACAGTGTCAAAAAAAACGAGACTGACAAGAATTTTCGATTTCCTGCATTGATAACATTGTGTATTTTATGTAAGTGGTTGGCGACCTTGCAGATAATGCCAAATCGCGCTAAACTATTACGGTAAACATCTTGAGTTTTTCAATATTGGAGTTAAAATGAATTCTTTTAAATGATGTTAAATAAAAAAAATAACGTGGGGCGTTAAAAAAAATGTATGCGCTGTTAGGATCGTTTTATTTAACAATATGAAATTAACGGCCCGTGGGTGGTAACTATTTAAGTCTATTTTTGTGTGTTACTCAACTTGTTATCAAATGTGGTTTCCACCATGGATACCCCAAAAGTTGTTCCTTGTTGTTGCATTTGTAGATTAATCTTCTCTATTGTATTATGTAATTGCAAAGATTCAAAACTTTGAAAAAATTGATGAAACTTGCTTATGCTTATAGTGTTATGTTTTTTCGACGTTTCATGGTCCCAAGAGTACGACAAAGTGGGTCCCCATTTCTATCTGTCTGTCGTCTCCTGTCTGTCTTGCTGATTTTTATCAAACAGATAGTCTCTGAAAACTACTAATTGTTGTCAGATTTTAAGTGCACATTAGGAAGATCGTGTACATGGTTAAAAGTCATCCAAAATTTATCTGATCATCCATACCAACAATTAGTGACGTCACATCAAAATTTTGTGTAGTAAATGTTATTTAAATTTCATAAAATAACGTAGTCCTATACTTGTAGTTTATGAATCTGCTTTTTCATCCTACATGTCTAGATTTGTGCAAAAAAAAATTCTATAACAAAATTTACAACCATTAGCTCAGTGGGTTAGATGGTACTGCCAATAACGCGAGGGTCGCTGGTTCGAAACCTTCATGGACCACTTTTTTTTCTGACACTGGGTGGTATCACTGCTAATATTATACTTGTTTTATTTCCTAATTGGGATTTTTTGTCGCCTTTGGAGCCTTATTATGTTTTTGTGTCACTGTTTGTGATTTTTTTGTTGCATTTTTGTGGACTTTTTTTAGTCACTTTTTCTTTGTATCACTTTTTTGTTGCTTTTTGTTGTCCTTTTCTTTGATCGGCTTTTTTGACACTTTGTAATCTAGTGTAGCTCTATTTGTGGATTTTTTTGTGATTTTTGGCCCCCTTTTTTTAATTACTTTTTGGGGGACTTTATTTGTTGATTTTTTTTTGTCTCCTGTTTTGGTCGTGTTTTTGTACTGCTTTGTTCTTTTTCTTTTTTGTCACACTTTTTGTGACCATATTTTTTATCGTCGTTTTTATTTTGTTTTTGTTGTCTTTTTTATATGCGATTTTTTTTGGTGGAGGTTTTTTGTTGGTTTTTTTGCAGTTTACTGGTAGCCTTCTATGTGCGGTGTTTGTCTCTTTTTTGTTATCTTTTTTTGTCGCATTTTTTGTGGCGTTTTGAGCTCTTTTTTGAATCACCCTTTATGGAGGTTTTTTATTTTTGTTTTTTCTTATCCTCTGTTTTCGCTTTTTTTGTGGACTTGCCTTTTTTCATTGTCTTTTTTATGACCTTTTTTATTTTTTTTTTGTTTTTTTAGGAATTTTTGTAGCGTCTTTTTTTGTGGACTTTTTGTTGCATTTTTTGCTCATTTTTATCGACTTTCTGTTACTGTCGGTAAACTCCTTTTTTTGTGGAATTGTTTTGTCTGTTTTTGGCCTCGTCTTTGTCATCCTTTTTTTTCGCATTTTTTGTCGCATTTTTAGTCCTGAGTATTGTGGTCGTTTGACCCATTTTTAATGATTTTTGTCCTGTTTTCGCCTTTTTTTTTGTGGACTTTGGTCCTTTTTTGATTTTCTTTGTAATTTTTGTGGCTTTTTGTAGCCATATTTTGTTGTTTTCTATCACTTTTTTTGTTGGCTTTTTGTCCTTTTTTTTATCGGCTTTAAAACATTTTGTAAGCTAGTGTAGCTCTTTTTGTAGATTTTTTTTGTATTTTTTTTACTTTTGGCCCCCTTTTTAAACACTTTTTTGTGGACTTTATTTGTTGTTTTTTTTGGTTCTTTTTTTCATCACTTTTGCCGTTGTTTTTTTTTTGTTGATATTTTTGGTTCTGTTTTGGTCGTGTTTTTGTACCTCTTTGTTATCTTTCTTTTTGTCGCATTTTTTGTGACCATATTTTTTGTCGTCCTTTTTATTTGTGTCACTTTTCGCAGTTTACTGTAGCCTTCTAGGTGGGGTTTTTGTCTCTTGTCTTGTAGCATTTTTTGTGGATTTGCGTTTGTTTTTTCATTATCTTCTTTATGACCTTGTTTATTTTTTTTGGCATTTTTTTGTAGCGTCTTTTTTTTGTGGAGTTTTTGTTGCGTTTTTTGTTCACTTTTATCGTCTTTCAGTTACTTTCGGTAATCTCCTTTTTTGTGGAATTGTTTTCTCTTTTTTTGGCTTCTTTTTTTGTCGTTCTTTTTTTCGTATTTTTTGTCGCAATTCTATTCCTCTTTTTTAGTCACTTTTTGTTCTGACCTTTTTACCCATATTTAACAGTTTTTGTCCTGTTTTCGCCTTTTTTTATGAACTTGGGTCATTTTTGTGGATTTTGTGGCCTTATTTTGTTGATTTCGTTCACTTTTGTGTTGCATTTTTTGTCTTTTTTTTATCGGTTTTTTTGACACTTTGTAATTTTTTAATTACTTTTTTTGTGGACTTTGTAGTTTTTTGTTTCCTGTTTCATCACTTTTGCAGTTGTTTTTTTTTTGTTCATTTTCTGTCCTCTGTTTTGTTCGTGTTTTTGTACCTCTTTGTTCTCTTTCTTTTTGTTGCATTTTTTGTGACTTTTGTCGTCTTTTTCATTTTCCTTTTTTATAGTCGAATTTTTTTGCTGTCTTTTGTGTTACTTTTTGCAGTTTACTGTAGTCTTGTATGCGGGGTTTTTGTCTCTTTTTTGTTGCATTTTTTGGCTCCTTTTTTCGATCACTTCTTGTGGAGATTTTTTTATTTTCGTTTTTTTATCCTGTTTTCGCTTTTTTGTGGACTTGCCTTTTTGTTTCCATTGTCTTCTTCATGACCTTTTTTGTTTTTTTTTTTCACTTTTTTTTACTTTTTTGTGGATTTTATGTTGCGTTTTTTGCTCATTTTTATCGTCTTTTTGTTACTTTCTGTAATCTTCTTTCTTGTGGAATTGTTTCGTCTTTTCTTTGGCCTATTTTCTTGTCCTTTTTTCGCATTTTTAGCCCAATTTTTAGTCATTTTTGTTGTGGCTTTTTACCCATTTTTAACGATTTTTGTCCTGTTTTTGCATTTTTTTTGTGGACTTTGGTCTTTTTTTATTTTCTTTGTAATTTTTGACACTTTGTAATCTATTGTAGCTCTTTTTCTATTTTTTATCGTGACTTTTGGCCCCTTTTCGTAATCTCTTTTTCTACATGCCTTTTTCTGATTTTTGTTTTTTTTTGTCCTTTGTTTTTACCGTTCTTGACGATTTGTCTTTTGTTCATTGTTTTTTTTTTTGTGACCTGTTTGACTCGCTCCTGTTAATTGCTTTGTGACCTTATTTTGTTTTTTTTTGCCACTGTAGCCGCCTTTTCTTCTTTTTTTATATTTTTTTCGCCGCTTTTTTCACGTTTTTCTTATTCTTGCTAAAAAGTTGATCACAAAATTTTATTCTGAAAAACTCACTTGAATCACACCCACACTTTTTTTGTTACGACTTTCGTTCTCTTTTTTAATCACTGTAATTTTTATTTTATTTTCTTTTTTGTGGCTTTATGTCGCTTTTTGTAATCGAATTTTGTTTTTTTTTGTATTTTTTGTAGTCCCCCTCTTTTTAGTGTATTTTTTGTGAACTTTGGTCTTTTTTAATGTATTTTTTGTCGCTTTTATAACTATATTTTGTTTTTTGTTGGGTACCTTTTTTGTTACTTTTTCTACTGCAATCTTTTTTGTGGACTTTTTGACAATTTCGTTGTGACGTTTTTGGCTCTATTTTTTGTCCTGTGTTTTAACATTTGTCCTTTTTTGTAATCGCTTTTTTATATCACGTTTTTTGGGTCTTTGTCTTTTTTGTCACTTTGTGTAGTCGCCCTTTTTTCCCTCTTTTTTTCTCAAAATCAAATTTTATATCTTATCTATGAAACCGGATTAGGAGTGTATTTTAGCAGCAAGGGAAGTTTTGTCGAAATAAATTTTAGACCTTTTTTTTTAAAACAAATCACGAATTTACAAAATTATGTTGTTTTTCACTCCTAAATAAGAAATAACTATTTCTAATTATTTGCCATGTGTGAAAATTTTCTCTAGACTTTCTTTTTTTTTGCGTATGTAATTTGATCCAAATATGTACACTTTTTCTTGCATTTTCACTCATCATTAATTGAGTTAAAATTATGCGTAATATTAGATCGATTGTTAAATAATTAAGGATGTGTGTTCAAAGAAAAAATTCTTGCTGAAGCACCCCTATATAAAAAAACACTACGTGCTTAATATAAATCAGATTAAAAAAACATGTAAAAGCATACATTAAAGACAATTTATTGATGCAAATATTGGATTATTTTTGATAGTTTATACTTTTTGTTAAATTTTTGGGGAAATTTCCCATAAAGAATCTTAAATTCAGTCCACCTGACGTTCTATTATTAATCAGTTTGTGATAGTAATATTTCTAAGAAAAATAAATAAAACACATTTCCTAATTGTTAATAAAACTTGTGGAAGTTCTGTAACACTGCAATAATTTATAAGTAGGTTTAATTTGGTTCTTAAAATTTTAAATTATGAATAATTTGAAAATCTCGTGTTAAGAAAGCGGTTTATAAAATTTTCCACTACGAATTTGTGATTTCTAACCCTTGTGAATCTGCGCAGGCCACCGAACTCTGCTAAAAATGCAAAATGTGTGAAGAATCTTTATAACACAGGTTGGTTTTTATAGTGGACAAAATGACCCACATGGTGGGTTCCTACGCACCCAAAACTGAGATACAGTCATACACCACACCCCCAGAGGACGCCCCAACGGGGCTGCTAGCCCGCGGATCCTATACGGTCCATTCTTTGTTCACTGATGATGATAAAAACGAGCATCTCAAGTGGGAGTGGTGCTTCGAAATCAAAAAAGATTGGAAAGATTAAACGCTTTTCTTTATTTTAACAAGTGGGGCAAGATATCAAAAAGTATTAATTAAAGAAGTATTCCCTTGCCGCAATAAATTTATACCTACCTTTTATAAATATATTTAGACAACCTTTTGAAACTTTTACAAGCCTTTACTGATGTATCAGTATGCCTTAACGTACAATTTTATATCGTTTGCTCATTAAAACAATGCCTTGTTACCCAGAAAGTGTGTTTGCTGTTGTATATTGCATTTACTCGTACTGATTGAGCTTTAGGGTACTTTTAGTTGGTCAAGTGTGTTATTTGCTACTTATTTCAAATAAAAACACCATAAAAAAAGTATAAAATTTATTAGTCCTCACAAGAAGTCATTTTCCTCGCTTTCCTTTTTCAAGAGAGAGGAAATCCCGAAGAGGGTTTTCTCTTGCACTTCTTTGATAATCGACGTCCCTTGATAGTTTTTAACATCGCAGCTGGCGCCATTGCTCAACAGGACTTCCACGATTTTGACGTCATTTTTCACGCATGCGTAGTATAAGGGCGTGTTTCCTTTGTAATCCTGAGTATCCACTTCACAGTTACCACATTTAACCAATTCCTTGACCACCAGAAGCCTTCGATAAATACAAGCCAAATGAAGGGGAGTCTGCAGAGTTTTGTAAGTTTTCAAGTTTGGAAGCGCCTGTGAGTCCAAGAGGATTCGTAAAAGTTCGGTCCTTCCATACTTGGCGGCGAAATGCAAAGGAGTGAAGCCGTCAATATTGCAAGTGTTGACGTTAATTCGTTCCACTACCACGTCTGGACTGCTTTCCAAATCGTCACATTTTTCGCAGTTACACAACGGGTGGCACTTTGACTGGAAATCGTACGTGGTCGACCCATTGGGGAAACCTAAGTAGAAGCAAGTTAACGGGAAATCGTTGTTTTCTATGGCTTTGAGAAGCAGATCGATTTTTTTTAGTTGTTCGACCCCTTTGGCTCGAATTCCGTGGTCTTTGCAGTGACTAGATTTGGTGGAGGCGCTGGGATGGGTAAATTCCGGCTCATCTAATGAGTCTAGATGGGCGTTAAACTGTTTCAGTAAACGCTCGGTGTAGTAATTTTGCGCCAGATTCAGTGGTTGTTGACTCTTTTTGTTAGCCACATTAGCGACGGCGTGGTTCTCGAGTAATGATCGGACAATGCCGACGTAATTCCATTTGATGGCTAAATGCAAAGGAGTGTCCCCATATTTATTGATGCAATTAATATCTAAGGTCTTCGACGTGTAGAATAAAGCTTTGACACAATTTTCGTGGCCGTTGTTGCAAGCCACGTGCAATGGAGTATTACCATCATGGTCTTTGGCATTCACGTCGGCTTTACAGTTCATCAGAATCAGTAAGACGTCTTGGTAACCTTTCGCACAAGCGTAATGCAATGGGGTCTTCCCGAAATAGTCGCAGGAATTGACCTCGGCACCGATGCTAATCAAAAATTCGACCATTTCTGGCCGATCCACGGTGGTTGCGTAAGTCAGAAGGCTTTGCCCTTTTTCGTTGAACATGGTAACGTTGTGACTAGAACCGATCGATTTCGTGCATCTTTCGCAATCGCACAGTGGATGGCATAAATTGGCGTCGCTCTTCTTCGACTTTTTGCACTTCAACAAGTCCTGCAGTTGCGTCAAGTCGTTCGTGATGATTGCCTGAAAAACCGGGTTTTCCGTTTGTTGACTAGATTTGATTTTGTTGAATTCGTCGCTTTTGATGAATTCTAAAGCTGCTTCAAGTGATGTGATTAGGAAATTAGTCTCATTAGAAACATTGAGAGAGCTGAATTGGAAATGAGTTAAGTAAACTAAGTTAGACGTCCAGTTGCTGATGTTTAACTTGACTATTAGGAAGACTAAAATTTGCAGAATATCGTCAGAAGTGAGGCAAATACTCGTACTGTACAAGTGATTAAAAGTTAATTTTAGACAATTAACCTTGTCCAGAATCGTTACATAATTATTTATTTTACTGAGTTCGCTTCTAGCGCTCGTTACAATATCACAGAACTTCAATGGGATATTTAAATCCCTCAACTGTAAGTCGCTACAGTTGCGCACGGTTTTGTTCAGCGTGGCGTCACCAAAACACGTCACGGTATTCACGGCTTTCACCAAAGCCCGGTCCAAACAACTCTGCATGTACGTCTCCACCGCGATTTTAATATTCTCACAGTCATCACTCAAAGTTCGATTTTTAAGCACGATTTGCAAACACTGCGAGAACAAACTCCCGATTAAGTCCTTCTGGTTCTGAAGATTCTCCATCGCCAGTCCGCGGTTCTGCTCAACAAAACTCGAACACAGCTTCTGGATTTTAATCAAAACGTGGCTCAAGTTCTCGCTCCATATGAAATCGATGCAGTCGTGCAGCGTCTCGAGTACGCGAAATCTGTTATCTTCGCAGATAGGCCGCGAGATAAAGAGAGGCCTGTCTAGGCAAAAGATCGTGTATTTGAGACCTTCGATGTAGCAGGTTTCCTCGAAAAGAATGCGGATGGGCGTGGACGGATGCTCAGCGGTCGTGATTTCTTTGTTTTGGATTGACACTTGTTTTTTACTTAGCGTGAAGCACACGTTTGAGGCCGTGGAAACCAAAATATGGTCCAGGATACTGTCGACCTGGATTTCACTGGGCTCGATAACCCCGGCTCGGGGGATGCAAATAACCCACTTTTCTTGTGACGCTTTAACCACTAGGTCACCATGGTGCGTTATTATTTCGTTGAAAAAGGGGTTGTCGTGGACGTTTTCGTCGTATTGCAGCCCCCACATTTTGAGGTTAGAGTGTAGAGGTGACGTTTGACTTTGACGTACTGGAGTTTGACAGCTGTGCACCTGCGCAGTGGCAATCTCCGGTAAAAAGCAATTATTTAAAATCTGTTTGTGCTGTGTTTAAAATTAAATGCGTGTTTTCGTTGTCATCACTAAACTAACGTAATCTTCGAGTAAAACAAGCCACATTACGATTATTTTTATTAGTGGTGGTCAAACAGTGGCGTAACACGAGTTCCACAGTAGGCTATGAAACAGTGGCGTAATGCGGAACTAAATTCCCCTAAATACAAACGTCAAGTTTACTTTAAATTACACACCTTTTTAGTGATTTGTGTGAAGGAGGCAGGCACCAGGTGAGAAAAAAGAGACAATTTTAACAACTCTTATTAAAAATTTACTTTTTATACAGTTTAAAATATAATAATAATATACAGAGTGCTATTTATATGCTATCTACACAATATAGGCACATATTATCGCGAATAATATAATACAATGTGATACATAACGGAGCGAAATGTACACTAACCTTAACAAGGAATGAATTACTAATTAAACACAATTTCGACTATAAGTGCGCTAGGATTTCCATCTCGGAAGGTATTTCAGTGATCTGCATGGTACTCCCTTCAATTTGAGAACTCCCGCTAACTGTGACAATAACCGGGCTTTGATCGCTAGTCTGCACAATAGTAACCAAATTCCCGTCTTTACTGCCTTCAAGATCACTTGAACTACCTTTGAGAAGCATCTTTAAAGGGTTAATATCACTCTCAGGTTCCATTTTTAATGAATCTAAAGTTATGTTATCTAAAGCCATGTCTTCTTCAGTACTACCCAGAATATTAACAACGTTCACCACAGACTCTTCGTGGTTGGACTCGGACAGACTTAACGACTGCTCCCGACTGTGCAGGACCGAGTTTTGAAGAGTCCCGGGCCTATTGGTGCTAGTTTGGGACCTATACGACGGTGGACAACTATATTCAGATTGTGCGGCGTCCCTCCGACTGGATAAAGGCGCTCTGAAACATTTAAGTTACAAAAATGAAACCATATAGATAAAAAATTTACCTCAGAAGGCTGCCTGCATGGCTGCGGTAAGTCGGAGGCGGGGACACTGCGTTCTGGATACCAGCCTGGATCTGGGGGGTATTGCCTCTGTCCAGAAGAAGAAGTCTCAGTCTATATTCTTGCATAGAAGCTTGATAACTAGGGGGCGGCGGCCTGTACTGGAACTCTGGATACATCATAGCCGCGTAGGGGTGGTGCGGTCGGCCGTATGATGGTGGCAGTCGAGGGACGAAACGTCGGGTGCATACGTCGACGGACTCGGTGGAACCCAAACCCAGCATCGAGCGGCACGTCGACGAGTCGTGGGAAGTAAGTCGCCAGGCTACGCCGCTGACTGTCACTAAGACGATTCCTACACCTGAAACGAAAGCAGCTTTTAGTTACATTGGTATGACTATACTTATTTTTTTTTTTTTTTAATTTTAACACAGCTAGTAAAGTGTGATCTACCAAATGGAGTGCAGCATCTCATTTTTGGATTTCTACTATAGCAACAAATAGTTTGTCGCTTCTTCGCTTCCACGGATTTAACTATGTCCAACCAGATTTAGGTGTGGATGGATGTTTATCAAATAAATTGTTCTATGACTGCAGTTGTATTTTTTTCGACATTTTCCATTTGGTCCCAGAATTCTAGGGGAATGTGAAGCCTTGTGTACAGTATAGGCCGCCTATGGAGCGGCAATAATACGCATTATTATTCCGAAATGGTCCAGAACACAACCTCGCGAAGTGGAAAGCGTCATGACTTCCGAATTATCAAGATACGTAACAGCCACGTATAAATGGACTTAAACGGAAGCCAGCGTCAGTCGACCGTAATTCGCAGAGTGGCAATGGAGTAAAGTGAGCCTATATACTCTGCACCGTTCATTCACGGAATCATATTTAGATCCACGGAATCGTAACCGGATTCCCACAATTTTCTTATTAGAGCGACTCAAGTCGAGGATTTTCGCGAATCGATAATTTTCATTGACATGCACCGACTTGCACTGCACCTTAGACCTCACCGGTGCCCGTCCTTGCTGTGGAAGTGGGCGAAGAAGAGAGCGGTGTTCGTGAACCGTTAGCCGCGATCTGCCTGCACACATATGGCGTTCCTATATGCAGTCGGCGCGCTCCGATGAATAAATCCAACATCAAACGATTCGAAAAAAGGCCATGATGTGGTCCGAATTACATAACATTAACAGAGAATTAATGCACGGAGGGTGACCGGCCATTCGTTGTTCAAACAGCGGGAAATGGCCGTGCTTGTTCGCTTATGCAAAACACGTTCCACTTGTATTTATAAAACGGCCGCTTGAGAATTGAACATGCAGATTGGTTTTAGTGCAGTTAATTGGGTCAGTAGTTTTTGATTATTTATAATAACAAATTTGTCGTTTTGAATAGTTTTTGGGGCGACTATAATTTTGGAGTTGTCTAAAGGTTCCTTGACGACGGTGTCGACAGAAGCAACAAAACCAACTAAACCTGGAAGTGTTCCAGGATTTTCGGTGTCTTTAGTTTCATCTTTACGCATACTGATGTTATAACTAGCACAACATTTTATAGTTTATAATACGTGATAACGTGGATCGGTTTTTGTCAACAAGTTCATTATGTTGGGGAATGCCACGACGATACTAATCGTCTGTACTCTGTTTACCGAATAGATGGAGTTGCATTAAGTGGTATTTTATCATTATTATTGTATGGAATCTGTTGCAGAACTGTGTTGTGCTGATCTTTTCATTTCGTTATGCTTCTTATTTCCCGAGCGTGAGTTAAGGAAGTATTTCAATCGAGTCCATCAGGCGACTGGTTGCTTCCGTGTTTTCTCTATTTTTCATGACCCATACAGTACGAAAAAATAGGTCTGAGTTTCCGTCTGTCTGTCTGCCCGCCGTCTGTGTCGATTTATATTAAATAGAAATAATATCCGAAATTCGTAGACCGATGGTTGTTAAATTTTCTCTGTATGTTTGGAACATCATGTAGATGCTAAAACGCTAACCAAAATTTGTCTGATCATCCCCACCAACCAGCAACAATAGAATGACGTCATCTCTAAATTTTACAATATAGTTTTAAAATTTTTCAGTTGTTTGATTCTTCAATTTTTCGATTACTTCATTTTGGAATTTTTTCAATTTCTTGTTTCTTCAATTTCTCAATTTTTAAAAATTTTTGGTTTCTCAACTCTTTATTTTTCGATTTCTCAATTTTTTACTTTTTCAGTTCTTCAATTTTTCGATTTCTCCATCCTTTAATTTTTCGATTCTTCAATTTTTTTGTTTCCATTTCTCTATCTTTCGAATTTTCGACTTCTTGGTTTAGATTTTTCGGTTTTTCGACTTTTGGGTTTTCGATTTATCGATCTTCCATTTCTCCAGTTTTCGATGTTTCGATTTTTCAGTTTTTTGAATTTAAAATTATTCGATTAAAAATTTTCAATTTTTCTACTTTTCGATTTCTCGATCTTTCAATTTTCTCAGTTTTAGATTTTTCGGTTTTAAGATTTTTCAATTTTTCAATTTTTCGATTGTTCAATTTCCCAATTATTCAATGTTTTAATTTTTCGATTTATACATATAATATGATTCTATGTATTTTGACTTTTCAGCTTTTCGATTTCTGGATTTTTTTTGATAATTCGATTTCTTGATATTTCAATCTTTGGATGTTTCGATTTTCTGATTTCTAGGTTTTTCGTTTTTTCGATTTATCGATCTTCCATTTTTCGATGTATTGATTTTTCGATTTCCCAAATTTTCGAGATATAAGTATTGAGATTTTTCAACATTTCGATTCTTAATTTTTTTTATTTATCGCTTTTTTTTAATTTTAAAGTTTTCAATTCAATTTCTCGATTTTTCTGTTTTACGACTTTTTGGGTTTTCGATTTATCAATCTTCCATTTCTCAATATTTCGATGTTTCGATTGCTCGACGTCTCGATTTCTGCATGTTTCAATTTTTCAATTCTTCAATTTTTCAGTTTTGGGATTTTTCAACATTTCGATTCTTAAATTTCCAATTTTTCGTTTCAATTTTTGGAAATTTTTAATTTTTAGTTTTTCGATTTTTCGATATTTCGACTTCTCGATCTTTCGATTTTTCGATTTATGTAATATGATTTTATGTATTTTGACTTCTCAACTTTTTGATTTCTCGATTTTTGGAGTTTTTTGATAATTCAATTTCTTGATATTTCAATTTTTGGATGTTTCAATTTTCTGATTGCTAGATTTTTCGTTTTTTCGAATTTTCGGCGTTTCCATTTATCGAAGTTTCGATTTTTCGATTTCCCAAATTTTCGAGATTTCAATATTTAGATTTTTAAATTTTTTAATTTTTCAATTTTTTAGTTTTGGGATTTTTCAACATTTCGATTCATAAATTTTTTGATTTATCGATTTTTTTTTAATTTCGAAGTTTCCAAATTTTCGAGATTTCAGTTTTGGAATTTTTCAATGTTTCAATTTTCGGTGTGTTTAAATTTTCGATTTCTCAACTTTTCGATGTTTCGACTGCTCGACGTCTCATTTTCTCGATTTTTCAGTTTTGTTTTTTAATTTTTCGATTTTTCGATTTCCATATTTATCGAGACTTCGGTGTTTCGATTTATCTTTTTTTTTAATTTTCAATTTTTCAATTTTTCTTCGATTTTTCAGTTTTTCGAATTTTTTAATTTTAGATTGTTCAATTTTTTGATATTTCCATTTCTCTATCTTTCGGTTTTTCGATTTCCCAACTTCGATTTCCCGATTTCTGGATCTTTTGATATTTCGAATTTTCGACTTTTTGGGCTTTTGATTTAGATTTATAGATCTTCCATTTCTTAATGTTTCGAATTTTCAATTTTTGGCGTTTCTAAATTTTCCATTTCTCAACTTTTCGATGTTTCGATTTTTCAGTTTTTTGAATTTACAATTATTCGATTTAAAAATCTTCAATTTTTCGACTTTTCAATTTCTCGATATTTCAATTTTCTCGGTTTTAGATTTTTCGGTTCTAAAATTTTTCTATTTTTCAATTTTTCGATTGTTCAATTTTCCTATTTTTCAATATTTTGATTTTTCGATTTTTGGATTTTTTTGATAATTCGATTTCTTGATATTTCAATTTTTGGATGTTTCGATTTTCTGATTTCTAGGTTTTTCGTCTTTTCGATTTATCGATCTTCCATTTTTCGATGTTTCGATTTTTCAATTTCCCAAATATTCGAGAGTTACGTATTGAGATTTTTCAACATTTCGATTCTTAAATTTTTTGATTTATCGATTTTTTTTTTAATTTCAACGTTTCCAATTTTTCAATTTTGTGCTATTTTAACTTCTCAATTTTTCTCTCTTTCGACTTTTAGATTTCCAAATTTTCGAGATTTCAGTATAGGGATTTTTCAACATTTTGATTCTTAAATTTTTCGATTTTTCGAATTTTTAAATTTTGGATTTTCAATTTTCTGATATTTCAACTTTTTAATTTTTTTATTTTTCAATTTCTGGATTTATAGAGACTTCGGTGTTTCGATTTTTCGATTGTTCAATTTCCAGATTTTTCAATGTTTTGATTATTTGCTTTATCGATTTTTTAAATTTCCAATTTTTCAATTTTTAATTTTTCGACTTCCCAACTTTTTGATTTCACGATTTTTGGATTTTTTTGATATTTCGATATCTTGACATTTCAACTTTGGATGTTTCGATTTTCTTATTTCTAGTTTTTTCGTTTTTTCAACTTTTCGGCTTTTAGATTTATCGATCTTCCATTTTTCGATGTTTGGACTTTTCAATTTTTTGATTTCCCAAATTTTCGAGGTTTGAGCTTTGGGAGTTTTCAATTTCTCGAGTTGTCAGTTTTTCGATTTCTCCATTTTTTTGACTTTTCGACTTTAAGGATTATCGATTTTTCGATTTTTCAGTTTTTGAATCTTTAAGTTTTGGGACTTTTCAACATTTCGATTCTTAAATTTTTCAATTTTTCGAATTTTCAATTTTCTGATTTTTTTTATGTTTCGACTTTTCGGGGTTTCGATTTCTCGATCTTCCATTTTTCGATATTTCGACTTTTCAATTTATTGATTCCCCAAATTTTCGAGGTTTCAATTTTAGGATTTTTCAATTTGTTGACTTTTCAGTTTTTCGATTCTTCAATTTTTGGCGTTTCAAGGTTTTCGATTTTTCGATCTTTTTGGCTATTCGCTTTTAGATTTTTCGATTTTCCGCCTTTTCGATGGTTTCAGTTTTTCGATTTTTTAGGTTTTTGAATTGTCAATTATTCAATATTTATAAATTTAAACTTTTTCCACTTTTCGATTTCTCGATCTTTCGATTTTTCGACCTCTCGGTTTTTCAATTTTTCAATTTTT